AGAGATAGATATTGGGAATTGAACCCAGGGCCATGAGCATGCTAAGCAAACAGTCTGCCACTGAGCTACATCCCAGGGCAGGCTATTTAAAAAATGCTAACAGTAAAGAGCTATCTGCTGGCCACATTCCCAGCAGTTGGGGGAATAGGCCTTCAGTGCTAAAGGGATGTGCTAAATATGGATGTCAAGTTGCAGTGTCCAGTACAGTGCCCCTAAATTGGTTTTACTCTGGGAGAAATAAGACTTTGATGAGTAGTAGTTGGGGGAACTAGCTATTTGATGAAACAGACTTGCCAAAGCAGCTTAGGAGAGTAAGGGCCATATATATCACCTTATAGAAGTAGGTATAGATGGCCAACATGAAGAATTTTCTCAAGGAGTTTTGATATAAGAGGGGCAGAGAAATGGGACAGTGGGTAAAAAGGATTGTAAAGTCTTCCCTTAGTAGGTGTGTGATTTTGAGCAATTAATTAATCTTTCTGTTCCTCAGTTTCCTAGCTTATAAAATGGAAAAAATAATAGGATTATGTATTAAATAGTTAATATATTTAAACGCATTTAGAAGAGTGCTTGTCATTTAATGTATTAGTTATCTACTGCTGTGTAACTTATCACCATACATTTCATAGTTTTAAACACAATAATTATTTCACAGTTTGTGTGGATCAGGAGTCCTGACATGCTCTTAGTTTGTTCTTCTGCTTCGCAGTCTCTGACAGATACAAAGTGTTAGCCATTGCCATATTCTCACATGAAGTCTTGACTAGAGAAGGATCTTTCCAAGTTCATGTGGCTGTTGGCCACATGAACAACAACCTCTGGGTTGTTGGGCCTAGAGTCATAATTCATAGCTTGCATTTGGCTAGAGCCTGCTCCTAGTTGTTTTTTTTTTTTTCCCCCTGCCATGTGGACCTCTCCGACAGGGCCGCTTGCATAATCAAGGCATGCAAAGTGAGAAAACAGTGAGAGAAGCAAGACAGAAAGCACAGTTGTAATGTAACCCAATCAGAGAAATGACATCCCATCCTTTGCCATGTGTTTCAGGTCTATAAGGAAAATGGATTACACAAGTGTATGATATCAGCACAGGGGAGTCATTGTGAGCCAACTTAGAGTCTTTCTGCCACATTTAGTATGTACTGTTAGCTGCTATTATTATTCTGATGGAAATGAAAAGGTAGAATTGAAGGAAAGATGTCCTTGATTAGACAACGGGAAGAGAGATGGAATGTGCACAAGTAGAGGGATTGGCCATAGTTCATCTGTTGTTTTAAAATGGGGAAAGCAGCATAAAAATACCTGTGGCTAAATGGTAGACTCAGCTTTTTTCTTTTGTCTTTCCTTTGTGGAAGAGGAAGTTAGATTATCAGCATGGAGGGAGGGGAAAGAAAGAGGTGTTGTAGATTTGAGAAGTGAACTTTGGAATCATCTGGAGTTTGGGAGTGAATTGACTAGGGAGAAGAGTTTAATTTGCCAGACATCACCCAGGGTTTAATGTCATGTATTTAAAGTGAGACCAGTTAGCAGGATTATGTTTCTTCAGCTGCTCAGATGCAAATATGGAAAGATGATAAGGCTTTAATAAGGATTAAGGTTCTGCCAGGGCATTTGGTGGAGGGAGCATGGAAGGAAATGATTATAATTATATTGACTGGCCATGAAATCTAGGCCCGTTAAAGAGGGAAGTGAGGCTTAAGCAGATGGGGAACAGTGAAAAGATGTTAGTGAATTGAAAAGATGGAAGAATTATTGGACACAAAGTACTGAGGAAAGAGCTGAGAAGTTAGGAGATCATGGTCAGATTTGGTGCTTGAAATACAGGATAAGGAAGGGATACTTGAAATGCAGATTATGGAAGGCCTTAGGTATCTTGAAATAGGGTTTATTTGAACCATTGCCTAGGAATATGATAAAGAAAAGATACCATCTTATCCCTGATGTCTTTACTAGGGAATGTGGCTTGTGATTAGTAGAGTGGACTGCTTCTAGAAAAGGCAGTTTTCCTTTTGCATTGGAGTAATTAGTGTGAAGGTTCGCTAGAGTTAAAAATCAAAGACAAAATAAGAAGCAAGAACTTACTTGTGAGGTAGTATGTCAAGATTTGAGGCCATAAGGTAATAATTTACATAGTCCAAGATTTTAAAGATTTTATTTGACTTTGAACAGTACTTGTAGAGATCTTGTATTTAGTTGTGAACATTTGCTTCCTCATCTTTTTTGTTTCTCATTTTTTATTAAAATTTTAAGCAAATACATAAAAACAAAGATTATGGATATTATACAGTACCATACGTTTCAGTACATGTGTACATTGTGTAATCAGTTAAACATATCTATCTTCTCATTTATTACTTCTTCATGGTGAAAACATTCAAAATCCTTTCTTCTTTTTTGAAATAATACTGTACACAATTGATATCTGTAGTCACTCCACTCTTCAAATAGCATACTAGAACTAACTTCTGACCTGTAACTCAGAATGAGTACCTTTCCTCATCCAAAGTTGAACTTTGCTCATCCATCTCCCCTGCTCTTCACAGCCTCTGGTAACCTCTATTCTCTCAATTTTTATCAGATCAACTTTTATAATATTTCACATATAAATAACATCATGCAGTACTTTTCTGTCTTTGCCTAGTTTACTTAACAAAATGATTTCCAGTTCTATCCAGGTTGTCACATTCATTTTTATGCCTGAGTATATTCCATTGGGTGTATGTACCACATTTTCTTTAACCATTCATTAATTGCTGGGCTCTTAGGTTAATTTCATTTTTTGGTTATTTTGAATACTGCTGCAGTAAATATGGGAGAAAAGATGTTTCTTTGACATACTGCTTTCATATCTTTTGGATATATACCCAGGAGTGGGATTGATGGATCATATATTTGATAGTTTTGTTTTTAATATTTTGAGAAATTTCTGTGTTGTTTTCTGTAATGACTGTATTAACTTACATTCCTGTCAACAGTGTGCAAGGGTTCCTTTTTCACAACATCTTCAAACTCTTATCTTTTGTCTTTTTGTTTATAATCATTCTTACTAAAGTAAGGTGATATCTCATTGTTTTGATTTGCATTTCCCTGATGATTAGTGATATTGAGCATTTTTTTTCATATACTGGTTGTCCATTTGTAAATCTTGTTTTGAGAAATATCTACTTAGCTCTACTACCAAATTTACAATTAGATTTCTTTGCTATTAAGGATTTTTTTTTAAGTTTCTCATCTTTTCTTGTTAGATGTATGGTTTGCAGTCCCTCCCCCCATTCTACAGACTGTTTCTTCACTCTGTTAATTATTTTCTTTGCTGTATAGAAGCTTTTTAGTTTGACATGTTTCTGTTTGCCTGAATTTCCATTTGTTTCCTGTGCTGTTAGGGTCTTTTTTAAAAAAATCCTTACCTATTCCAGTGTCTTATAGTGTTTCCCTGTGTTTTATTCTAGTAGTCACATTGTTTTTGGACTTTACATATCAATTCATTCTTCCACACATGCATACCCAGTTTTTCCAGCACCATCTATAGTTTACTAATCAGCATCTACGTACCTTGACATAGTAATAGCACCTGGATTTTCCTTATGGTGACTAGTACTCCCTGTTTTCAATCTTTGTGATTCTAATGGTGTTTACTGCCCCTTTCTAAAGATGTCATCAACTCTGGCTAGCCTGTGAAAATATACCCAAGGAAGTAATTGCCACTTGGGAAGGAGACTTTTGCTGTTTTGGAGTTGCTTCAGCCATGTTGAGAATTGAGTCAACATGGGTGGAGGGGAAAAGAGTTGAAAGACAGTGAAAGAGTGAGTCCTCATGATAATATTTGAGCCCTTAATCAAGCCCTTAATGCTGGTTGTCTTGGACCAATAAATACTCTATAAGTAGGTTTTCTTTTCACCCATGATCAAAGGATACCTAATGGATAGATACAATTACCATAAGGCTTTTGCCAAATCCTTTAAGTTTGTTTGAGTAGTGTGCAGCGAAGCTGACATGTTAAGATAATAGAATCTTCAAAGTCCTTTTTCCTCTAGTTTTTTTTACATACTTTTCTTATTGTTGGTACCCCTAGGGAAGGCAGTGTGGGGCAGTAAGAGAATATCAGATCAAACTAGAAACAAGCCTTATGTCTGATACTAGCTAACTATATTGTTTCAACCTTCTTAGATTCAGTTTTTGTCTGTAGAATGAGGAGAATGATGGTGATTTTATAGTTAATTGGAAGGATTAAACGTGATAGTGAATATGAAATGTCTGGCATGATCCTTGATGCTGTTTGACTCCCTTCTTCCTTCCTCTTTTCCCAACCTCTGGTATATTGTTTGATACACAGCAGTAATTCAATATGTTCTAGTGTAAAGAATGCATACATAATTGAACAAATACAATCAGGCTCTTCTTTTTACCCTTCTGTTTTTGAATTTTTACTATACTCAAGGTACTGCAATTTATTTAATAGTCAAGCGTTTTTTTCTTTTCCTTTTTAAATTTCATTTTTTTAAATGAAATATTGTCACATAGATTCCCCCCTCCCCCCCCAGTTTTGGCATCTGCCTCTGGCTCAATTATGCATTCATGTTCATGTTATCATTCTAAGATTATTGTGAGAAATAATGACACATAACATTCATTGACTACTTGCGTCGCATAAGCCATTGTACTTTAAACTTTACATATAGTATCTTTTTTACTCTTCATAATGGGATAACTTTAAAGGTATGTAATGTAGTCCATACTACTTCTTAAAAGATTCAAGGTTAGGTATATAATAGACATTCAGCATTTTATTTCATTTTTCTTTATTAAAATTAAGTTCCTTCTAATTGCATGAGTACAGTTATAGACACAATATAATGTATTGGGTGAAGAATGCAGATCCTGGAGCTATGCTGCCTAGATCCGAATCCTGGCTGTATCATTTACTAATTATTTAACTCTAGATAAGTTATAAATCCTGGAGTACCCCATTCTCATCACCTGTAAAATGTTTCACTTCATTTTAGGTTCCTAAATATTTGTCACAGCAATGGGCTAAAGCCCCTGGAAGAGGTGAAGTTGGGAAACTGCGGATTGCCAAGTAAGTTATTTACATATTACTAACATTTTAAAAAGTTGTTTTTAAAAAAATTTTACAGATGTTTTGTATATGATTATAGTTCTTGGTCAGATAGAGAATTTACTTGGAAGATGAAAAGAATGAGCACACTAAGGCTTGTCAAAAGAGATGGTTATGTGCCTTGTAAAGAGAAATTCTTGTCTGTGTACATGCACTCTTCAGTGACTGGTGGTGTGAATATAGGGTGCAATTTATTGGTAAAATGTGAGGTCAATGAAACAGTGGAGTATATAGTTCCCCTACTCCTCTATCCTCTGTATGTTTTGTGTGGAGGTGTGCCTGGGTTGGGTATAACTGGAAGCACCAAAGAAAGCTTTTCAGTAAAAGGACTTTGCCACTGTTCTACCATTCCTGTTTCTAGGCACTTTGAAAGTAAGTAGGGAACTTCTAGTAAACAGTGTAACAGAGAAGCCTCAAAAGCTGAGCTGATGTAATCCTAAGGTCTCATATTCCTTTCTTTCTATCCATTCATTTTAATCAAAACTCTAGTCAGCTTTCCATGCCTACTACTCGATTGAAATAGCTCTTACCTATTAACAATATCCTCTCCTTTATCAATTAGCGTTTGCTTTGTAACAATCAACCCCCAAACCTGGTGGTTTAGAATTAAAACCATCTTATTTGTCTTTAATTCTGTGGATTGGTTTTAGTTGGGCTGACCTGGCTGGCTTTCTTGGTTAAAATGACATCCTTAGTGTCTTGTGATGTGATAACAGCTGGGGCAATGACCATTCGTTTCATCTCCAGCATATTTATTCTCATAATGGAAAAAGAGTTCCAAGTAGCCAAAAAGAGGGAAGCCCCAGTGTACAAGCACTTTGCAAACCTGATCTTGTGTATGTTTGCTGGAGTTCTATTAGCAAAGCAACACACAAATCTAAGCCCAAACTCAAGGGTGGTGTAATAGAGTCCCATGTCAAAGAATTTGTTGTAAAGAATTTGTGTTCCTTTTTTTTTAAAACAGAGTGCCATATCCAAATTCCTAAATCCTATCGTCAAATAGCAGTCTTCTTAATTGACCTTCTACAGAACTTGTTATGACTGATCACATCTTTCCTGGAATTTTTTTTTTTTTAACTTTACATCTGAAATGGCACTCTCTTGACCTTTCCCTTGTTGACTGTTTTTATTTTTAGGTGTAGAGGGACACAGTACTGTTTATAGTAAAAAAGAACTTTTCATGACTTTGTGATGAGATGACTCTCAATCTTAAGATGGAATTAGACTGGGTTCATCAAGTACTTTTATTTATTTGTTTTTACGTGGAGCTGAAGATGGAACCAGGTGCCCCACATGTGCTAGGCAAGTGCCCTACCACTGAACTACAACCCTAACCCTAAGTCTCTGTTTTTAACTACTTCTTAGGTCAGTCTTCTAATTTAAATGTCCTTGGTTTTTTTCTTCTCTCTTCACTTGCTTTCAAGGTGTTCTTATCTGATTTCCTAGCTGTAAATAGCTCAAGCTTTGCTCTACACCTGAATTCCACACTCATAATCCTGGTAGCTTCCTTGATGTTCCTTTTCACATGTCTCAGATGCATCTCAAACTTAGTAATTGCAATGAGAGGCTGAGACAGGAGGATTCTAAGTTCAAGATCAGTCTTAGCAACTTAGGGAGGCCCTAAGCAACTAAGTGAGACCCAGTCTGAAAATAAAAAGGGCTGGGGATGGAGCTCAGTGGTCAAATGCCCCTTGCTTAAATGCCCAATACCAAAACCAGAACACTTAGTAATTGTACTTCATCTGTTCCATCTCTTTGGAACAGTCTTCCTCTAGATATCTCCGCGGCTGGCTCTCATACTTCTTTTTTAGGTCTCTGGTCAAATAACAGCTCATCAAAACCTTTTCTGACCACCATATACAAAATAGCACCCTGTATTTTCTACCTTTCTTACTACTGTTTGTCCTTAGTAGTTTATAATTTATTCACCTTCTACTGTGCCAGTCTGGCATATTGTATATTTGTTTTGTGTATTGTCCATTTCTCCTACTAATGTATAAGCACTATAAAGTCATATTTTTTGTCTTGATGATTACTGTATCTCCAGCATTCAAGAACAGTGCTTAATACAGTATATATTTGGTAAATTGTTATTGAATCAGTAAATGAAAACTATACATTTAAGTGGAAACAGACTTGAATTCTGATTGGTAAGATAATTCCATCTGGTTCTAGTTTCTGCTCCATTAGTTACTATCAGTGAAGCTTTGTCCAGGTTATTGAATCTTTTCTGAGTTTTTATTTCTTATCCTTAAAGTTGCCTGTTTTGTAGGACTTTTATATAAATCCAGTGAGATAATATGGATGTAGTTATTTGTATTTAACTTTATAAAATGAATGTATTCTTGGAAGGTTGTAGATAAATTACATTTTCTGTAGTTGTCATACTTTTATTCATTTATCTTTTCTGTGGTGCTGGGGATTGAACCCAGGGCCTGGTTCATGCTAGGTATGTACTTTACCCTAGCTAGCCTCAGTCATACCTTTACTGTAAAAGGAAACACTGTATACTTTTAATTGAAATCTGTAGTGATTTATGTTTTTTTTTTTTTTTTTCTGGAAGTGGAATTCTTTGTAATGCAGATAATTATCTACTTTTCTGTTAAAAGACTTTGGAATTTTTTATATTAGATTTTACCGGTAGCGGAATCGGAGCTACCGCCAAAATCTCAGAAATGTATGTCACCAAAGAAAGGCAGGCTAAAGGAGAAGGGCCTTAGCCACTTAACTCCAGGATGTTATGTCCTGACTTCACTGGAGCTCAAGACCTGGCTTCTCATCCCAAGTATTTGTGGATAGTTGATTGGTTTGGGGCCTTATCTCTCTAGCCTTAGCTTTTTGTCTTGTAAAATATGAATAACAATGTCTTCTCCACCCATGGGAGAGTGTTTATAAGACAAGTGAAACAGCTTAAGTGCTTTGAGTTGGTTAAACTCAGATGTTCTCCTTCTCCTACCATTACATTTCTGTAAATCTCTGTATAAAGAAAATATGTGTTTGAGGAATGTAAAATCTTTCTTTTAGTGTGGGAAGGGGAGACTTATGGGAAAAGAGTAAAAGGAACCAAGGTTCAAGTAAAGCCATGCAAGCCCCAAATATTACTTTTATCACTAAAGTAAGATCTTAAAGATGACATGCTAAATAAGCAATAATGAGTATGTTCTGCATTTTTTCTTGACAATCCTGGCTTAGTAGAAAATTTCAAGCTCTTTTTCTCCTTAGTTTAAGATAGATGGTTTAAATGATTGCATTTAACATATAATGCCTGGAATACTACCGATTTATATGTTTCTCTAATGCAATTACTAATGGGTCTCTTGTTCTTTTTCCATAGTGTACTGGTTTTCTGGTTTTGTAAATTGTATGGTTACCCAAAATATTAGCAGATCGTGTGTGTGTTTCTTTGTTTTCTTCCATCCATTACCTGGCCAGTTTGCCAGTTTTATGTGGTAGTATAGTTGATTCCTGTAGGAGTTCAACCAAAGTCCCATAGAAATATTGTGTGTGTGTTTTATGGCATAAGTAGTACATATTTTAATTTTTTTTTTTAAAAATTACCTTTGTACAAAAGAGAAAGGCACCTGTTTTTCCCATTCACAGTCCTTAGAGGTGGTGACAGTTTGGTATGTAAACTTCCAGATTACATATAGATTATTTTGGATGCTTAGCATATGGACAGAGTTTTAAAACATCTTTATTTATTCCATAGCTAAATATTTCTCAAACCCCTTTAAGCTCCATTTTGCTAACTTTTGATCATAGCATAGAACTTGGCTTTTTTTCTCTTTGTCATTGACTCATATTTAGCTCTAAGACTTTGTTTTATTCTATTTCATTTTCCCTTATGTCTTCCTTAGGATCCCTTGTCAATGCCTCTCTTTCTTGTTTTTCCCATTTTAGTTTCTGAATTCTTTTGAAAATAAAATCCTCAGTTAAAGTGGTTTGAAATCTCCCAAATTTATATCACTTTAATCAATACAGTTGAATCAAAAAGTATACTTACCAGATTTTCTTAAAAGGGAATTGTTTTATTTAGGAGTTTTTATACAAGTGTAGGGGACAGAAAAGGAGCAGATTGTGAACGTGTGCATGTATCTATGTGTTTTATATGTAGACAAAAGATCTAGTCGCCTAATACAGCAGTAAATAATACAGTAAATAATACTATTTACTATAAATTTATATATTTATATATATATATATTTTATATATTAATATATTTATCCGTATTTATATGGATTTATAGTAATAGTACCTCAAGATTGCTGTGGAAATGCTTGAAAACAGCTTGTTCCCTACTAGGTCTCCTGGCTGTATTCTCCAAGCTGTCTTGTTTACATTCATAATTTAGTTTTTGTTATTCTTAGTGAATTACAAGATTTGCTATTAAACAATGTAGGATGAGTGAAGGAATGGCTTAGCAGTACGTGTGACTAGGTTATCAGAATCTTAGTTATTTCAAGCATAATATGAGTCATCAAATTTATGTGGCTGTAAGCAAAAGAATCCATTAATAGATGTTTGTTGTTTAGAATGAAGTGGGATGATAGTCCCACTCTCTTCTCTGCTGGTTAGCTCACAGTGTAAACATTATGTTTAGTTCTTTATGCTGCTCTTGAAGAGAGTCATGGGCAAATCAGTTCATTCAGTGAACTGAAACTAGGGATGATGAGAAAACTATTTTAGTCAGTGTCTAATGAGGAATGTGGAACGTTTGAAGATACTAGGACTGTTAAGAGAAGATTTAGGACAAACCAAGGAAACTGTCTTCACATGTTTTTAAGACTAAAAGATGTGTAATCAACTATTGATTCTTGAGAAGAAAACTAACCAGTTTATGGGGTTACCTGTGGCTTAAAAAAAGTAATTTGGTGCTGGCGAGGATGCAGGGGAAAAAGGTACACTCATACATTGCTGGTGGGACTGCAAATTGGTGCAGCCAATTTGGAAAGCAGTATGGA